GAAAGTTCGATTTGTGATCCACAAACACAGATGCACATGTGCACAACAGCATGTCAAAGCTCGCACAGATGTTTCCAACAAGCTGAAGTCAGAACCTTTCAAGGAGACCCACACTACTGTTAACCCGCTGGGCCCATCTTTTTACGACACTCCGCTCTCCTGCGTGTTAGCCATTCATGTTGTTTCAGCGGAGGGCGCGAGCTTATAGACAGAAACTCTGGCAAGACTCACTGCAGGAGTTTCCCTGCTTCGATGAAGTGTACACATTCTGAGATGTGCTTTCAATATCTAAACAGAAGACTTTTTCCACAAGTTTTTTTACTTTTATTTAGATTAAATTAAACCTAGTAGAAATCAAGCAAAATATTTATGTAGTGAAGAAAAAGGTAGGAATTATGATTGTGCAAAAAATAAGTTCACAATCCTGTTTGCTGCCTATCTTTTTTTTAATTAACACTCATCTCCAGTCTGCAGGTAGAAAGTCTAGGCTGTGATAGGGAACAGCTGACCATAATAACTACCAACCACATTTTCCTCTCTGTCCTCCTGTTTCTACCTCACCAAGCTCACGACAGAACAACATAAATTACATTGTGACACACCTGAAGGATTTCCTGCATATGGCTAAGCAATGAGACCACACACATCCAAGTTCTACCCAGCCTGCAACTGTATCTTCCAGAAGAAGCAAACATAAGCATGGTGTCCATTTCCAGGCAGAGCCTGTTTCACATTCACAGCTGCAGAAACCAACACCTGGAAGCTGAACAGGACAGGACAGGACATCTGTTTGCCACAAGGAAGTTCTTGTCTTGCCTTCACCTGTCCAGCACAGAAAGTACTAAAGACTAGACCTTACTACAAAACAGTTAAATCTGAGGTGTGCTACTCAGACAACTGCTGTAACTAGATAAAGAAAACATCCTGTGAGAGGATCTGTGTGTGTTTTGTGTCTCTTGTGTCATCTGTCCTGCCGTCCTCAGTGTTTCTCCCTCATGTAATCAGCTCCTGCCTCTGCCACCTGTTGTCCTTCCCCAGGTGTTTGTGTTAATCCCCCCTTAGTTTGTCTATGCTGTGTTTTGTTATCGTTCCCCTCTCCATGGATTGTCCTGTATGGCATCATGTTACTGTCTTCCTCCGTATCTCCTCATCGTTTATGTAAGTTTTGTTGCCACGTCAGCCCTTTTTGTTTGTATTAATAAATATTCTTTATTGTATTCTTGAGTTCCCGAGTTATGTCTGCACCCACATCCAACCACACCACAGACCATGATATGCTGAGCATCTTTGAGGAAGTTAAGATGACTTATTTTTGGCTCATTACGATGTTAATTTCTTCAGAGTTTGAAGCTGTAAATCAAGCTTTGTTGCCCCAGAAACCTATGATATTCTACTTTATAGAAATGTACCAATACCTTTTGTTGGCCAGTTTCCACCTGTGATTTTCATAAAGCTCTGACTGTATTTCAATTTTGGCCAATTCCTAGTTCTCAGTAAGAGCTATAATTATTAGCTTTCCTTTCTGTTTCTGATTGAACAAAAAAATCAGCTGGCAGTTTATAGTATAATATATTTAATAAAAAAAATACAATTTACCTTAAACAACAGCAGGTTAAAGTCTGTCTCTGCAAATAAAGTGCAAATATCAATCTTCAGATTGTTGGAAATTGTTATTTGTCACAAAATCCAACTAAAATCACTTCACCACTTGCTCTTGTCAAGGGCAGATGCTTTCCCCTCCTCTCCCTCCTCTGCTTTGCTTTTGCTCTGTCCTGTCTGTGAAACTGCTTCAGAGTCTCTCTCTACATATCTTCCGAACCATATTTTTTTGCTATGGATCTGGTCAGCTGGTCTCTGAATGCAACTGATAAAATTTTCTCGACGAAAAGACAAGCTTCAGGTGAGCAGACTTGCCCTGATGACACGCACGCAGCTGGATATGTCATTGATTTAGAAGGTGATGTGTCTGTCTATCTCTGCTGTCCATTGGTGATGTTAAAGACGCATAATCGACCTTGGCACCCCTCGAATGTGTTTATGGATCTCACCAGAGGGAACTGACTGATTAGAACATTTTTATTAGAACACTTACAATGCCTCTGGAGTGTCCTTGGACACATTCACCACTCTTGTCGTCTCCCATCCCCTGCGGAATGTCTGCGTCACTATGTGCCTATGTACGGGGTGTTTATTTTAAATCTCAGACTCTCCCTCCTCAGGCAAGGAGTGAGGGTTTGATAGGATTTTTTTTTATTATTCATGTGTCACTTTCATTACTTTTTGTCTGTCTAAACAGATCTCACTTGTAAATGAGTCTTCAAAGCTCAATGTGATTTATCTGTCTAAATAAAGGTTGAATGAAAAAAATAGAATTACTGTTTAGCTTTTTATAAGCCAAATAACTCCCACCGTATACTCCACAGTGAATATATGCACAGTAACTCCATATACAAGCGTTGCGAGAGTTTGTTTCGCATTGCCGGTAGTAAGTCAGACCCCT